AAGAAGAAGAAGAAGAAGAAGAAGAAGAAGAAGAAGAAGAAGAAGAAATGTGCACACCAAATTCTTGACACTATAAATATAGTTTATTAGGTTTGCGAGGAAAAATGTCGAGCGAGCGCTCGTGCGCACATTTCGATTGTAGTAAAATGCGGTGCATCGATTTTGTGTGTTGCGATGAAAAAGTCTATTCGAAGAGATTCATCAATGAGTGCAACAAATCACGACAGATTGTCGATGAGTATGTGTAATCGATTACGACTCAAGTGACACATAAGACAAAGCCCGATCAAAATGGGTTGAAAAACAAAAACATTTTATGTTATGCTAGAAAAACCAACCAACGATCAATGATTCATTTTTGCGTTATTCATAAGCGATGATCAATCGTTCGCTATTCGTGCCAAATATTCAAATGAGCCTATTCGTCTATTTACGAACGCGTTTGCAATCAACAATCGTCTAACCAGTTTCAATTGACGATATTTTTTCATTTATTTTCTTTTAAGAACTGCTTGAATCATGATTTTATTTATGATCAATTTAACCGATTTTGACTGCCACTTAAAATCAGTCACTTGTAGTAGATCAGCCCACTCCGTATGAATTTCATTCTTTAATAAAACGCGCTCTAGCTGAACGGAGACAATATACACAATTAGACAGCAACACTTCCGAATCGCATTTCATTCACATTCGCCAATCGGCCTCGTTGCTTTAAGCACGTAATCTCTGCTGTGCACCTTATCATCCGTAGCAATCGACTTGAATGGGCCTCACTTTTTAATTTGCCAATAAAATATTTACAACTGATTCATGCACTGGTATTGCCTCCCAATCGAATCACGTGTGTTTGTGGCTTTTTTCGTTTACGTTTGGCTTTTGCGCCATATTTTACCAATGGCAATAGGATTTCAAATTACGCTTCGTTTGCTAAATAGGTTCTGTGCGAACAATGCTGAATGCTGTACACCAAACACGTTGTACGCTTACTCATCGCATGCACTGTTCTCAATGGATGCAAACAAACGAGACACTTTTTTTGCCTAGTTCAAGTCGGTTTTGTGCTGCTATTTTTTTTTGCGCTGCCAGAGTCCTAATTAAAATTAAAAATGGCTAAATTCCATTAACCCAGTATGCATATAAGTGCAATGGATATGTAATACACACTTTTGTTTGCACAACGGGCACGTATCGATTGTGATCGCTAATCGGTGCCCGC